GAAGATACATTTAGGTTGGGTTCGATAGAGTTTATTTATGCAGTGGTTATGGTTATTTTGGAACACAGTTAAGTCATTAGGGTCACTGCAGGTAGAAATGGCTTCTGGAAAGACTCCTAATACCCACTGGGTGTCCTCAACTAGAATTGCACCAGAAGTCACAGGAGAGGTCTTAAAGACCCCCAAGTGTCTGATGGCAGACTGCACCGTGATAGTGATTGTGCTGTTATCAGAACCCAAGGTCTGGGAAATTCTTCTGATCACAAAGAGGTAAAAACGTGAGTGGAAGATTCAATTCCATTAATAGCAGTTAAAAGATAAATTACACACAAGTTCTCCTGAGGCACTGTTTGCAACTCAAAATACGTCACCTGTGTCCCTTTTCTGAGTATCCTGGAAAATAAACCTTATCAGAATCCCTGTGTTTGTAGCGTTCAACAGAAATATCTCAAACCAAATCAAATACTGTTAACAGAAGTAATAAATAAGCTCTTGGATTTCTGGTAATCCAATCAGTGAAAAGTGAATAGGAACATTAGTCAAGTACTTAAATGTCTTACAGATTCAGTACAAACTCTTGATATCAGTGAAGAAAACAAATATCATACTAAAGATCATTGATGACGTGCAAATCAATTCAAAGAACATGTAATATCAGCCACGGCACAAGAAAGCTTGAAGAGCCTTGAAGTTGCAACTTGTACGTAAAAGCACCTTGACAAAGGTTTTCCCATCAAACATCAGCTCAAAACATTCCCGGGAGCGCTTCTGCTGTAAAAGCAGCTCTTCCAGGCTGAATAATAAAAAGTAATGTTGATGTACTATGCTATTCTCTTTACAGAAATGTTATTGCTAATTTGTTTTCATAGGAAAAAGAGCTTGAAAACATGCAGCAAACTCTGTGGGAGAGATTACAGAGGCATGCCAGGGACTTAACTGAATATGACATGGTGTTTACTAAATTCGTGATGGTACAGTATTTGTCAGCACTTTATGCAGATTACAGTGCTTTCTCTTCTCATGCATGATATTTACTTTTGCTTCCATTTTGTGTTAAGACAGCACAAACTGAGGTCCGCCCTGGAGGCCACTCATCTTCCTCCATCCCTTGCCTGTGGATCCAAACCCCCCAACTCTGCATCTGAATATAATTAAACCTTAGATCTAACTTACAACTTATAGAAATGCAGAAGCTAGGTGAAGTTAAACACACTAACAAAAAAAATAAGCAGGTATATCTAGAACACAGAACAGTCTACCAAATGAGAGCTGTGGCTACACAATTTTCCCACGGCTTTTATAATTCAGTATCATGGGACAATAAAAACATGGAAAGGTCGACTCAGAATGAGAGAGTATACAAATGCAGGCATCAACCTAACTGGAAGTTCCCTCATTCCAATCCCTGTCCCCACAAAGACTTATAAGAGATGTTTTGAAAACTAGAAAAAAGTATTTTTTATTATTTACTTATGCATACAGAACTGAGGTACAGGCCAGAGGTGCAGAGGCGGTGAGAGGCTTCACCAGAGACAGAGTGGGGAGCAGAACAGGCAGATCGACGAAGTACACTGCTGAGGGGAGCAGCGGGCGGGCCAGGAGAGGTCTGCCGCGCCATGTGGGTCAGCTCCCAAGGCCGGGAATTGAGCTCACACTGAAGCGGCTGCACCAGCTTAAATGCTGCGTTCTAACCACCAAGGAGGACCAAAAACTAGAGAAGTTTTCAATAAGGACCAACTGTCAGACAACACCGGAGCTCACTGACTTGCTCAGTGGACTACGGGAATGGGCTCATGCAAATGATATTGTTTGAAGATGCATCATGTTTGCAACTACTGGCAAATGGTCTAGCAACTTTACATTTGGAAATATTTTCAATTTTGAAGTTGGGACAAGTAAAATTTATGTTCAATCTACTTTTCTCGCTATGTGCAAATACATAACCAAAAATGGATTAGCATCTTGTATAAGGATCATAAATGTTCAAGACAAGGAAGGTGACAAAGGTTATGAACAGTCAATTCACATAAAAGAAAACTGTAATTTTTTAAAAAATGTACTTTTCTCTTATTTGGTCAATCTAAGCAAAAAATTACAAGTTGGATCAAGGTAATGAGTTTCCTCAAACATTATCAATGTGAAGTAGGAGCCAAAGCCACAGAGGCCGCGGTTTTCAAAACTGCCACGCTGTTTTGAAATGACTCTAGATGCCAAATGGAATCGTGACCTGCTTCGTCTGAGTTGAAGAAAAGTTCGTGGCATTCTCAGCCTGTGGCCTGTCACTCAAGATGGAAAAACAAGTAGGGACAAGGGGCTGCAGAGAGAGACAGAACTGAAGCAAGCAAAATTAAGGAACAGCTGACTTATCTTACTCATTTTAGGGAGAAGATCAAGGGTGATTCTTTCCAGGGGCCCAGCGCATTTCCAGGGATTTAGCTCACAATAAACAAGAGAAGTTCATTACTTTATCATTTATAAAGCCCTTTCATACATATTACCTCCAGTGTCTTACAATCAGCTTAAGGAACACAGAAAGTGAGTCATGTTCCCATTTCACAAGGGAGGAAACCAAGGTGATACGCCTAGCTTGTGAGCCCAAGTCCACTCACACTGACCACTGGCTCTGCAGGGTCACCAAGCTACTGTCTCACTCTGGGAAATGCTGATTTCTCTGAGCTACAGTTTTCAGACCAGAAAGCCTGAGGCACAGGGGCAGAGGACCCTAATTCAAGTGAAGGTAATGGCTTGGCCTCAGATACCTTTTTCTCCATCGCCAGAATGGTGAGGGGAGGGGGGGAGGGCAACAGGCCAGTTTGTGAGGGGCAGTGACCCCCTTCTCCAGGGGCTACGAACCACCTCCCGCTACTTCTTCAAACTCAGTCACCTGATGTAGTCCCCCAACATGAAGAAAACGAAAAGAACTTGCGAGCAGAGCAGTGGCTGGAACTAGGTATACAGACTGAGACGCACAAGCACCAGCAGTGGGCTCCAGGCCATTCCAGGCTCCAGGCCACGTGCGACCACGCCTAGTGGCTGTTTGGGGTGGCTTCCCTCCCTTCAGCTCCGAACTGGGAAATTACTAATTCCCTGGCTTTCATAAGACACAGAGGTCCACCAAATGTTTGCTCCAGCTTATTTTTTTTACCTCCCAAAGGGCAACCCGTTACCCCGACAATAGAGCAAGCTTTGTTCTAAAGGTTCACAGTGTCTGCCCGATGCAAATTCTAACTGCCAACCACCAGGAGAAGAACAATGCAGAGCAAGGAGAGCTCCGGGCTCCCCCTCCTCCCAAGATCCGTCTCAAAGCAGTCCTTGCTTCTGGGTTTCTTGGACATGATTTTAGCTTGGTCTTTATTTGGACACAGGTAGAAAAGGAGAGGCTTGGATATTAAAAGTTTATCATTCAGAGCAGCAAAGCTAAAAACCAAAGAGTTATTCTTCCAAGCTCAAAAGATGGGAAACTTCATTTCATTCCCAGGCTCAGAATATCAGGTTCCTCCAAGCAGAATAAGCATGTTAGATAAAAATGCAGCCAGGCCTTTTCTGTGACCGGTGGGGGGTGGGGGGGGCTAAAAAAATAAAATGCATGATGAGAGTCTTCAGAAACAGTTGCATGGGGATATTTAAAGACCCTGCTATTCAATGGAGTCATTAAGGACTAAAAGTTCAAGTACCAGAGGGAGTGATTTTCATATGAATGTTGGGTGTGCATCACACACAAGCGTCCCCTTGACACAGAGAACCCTGTCACATCAAGCAAGTCCGAGCTTCGAGTGACAAGGTACAGACAGGGCTGTTCAGATAAGGGGCAGACATTAGTGGACCCTTTCTCAAAGGAAACTTTGAAGATTTTGTTAGGCTTTCTTCTTGGGACTGTCACCAGATAACAATACAGTTGCAAATGAGTGGTGTTCAGTGGCCACATCAGGGCCTTTTAAAGAGCAGCTGCCAAAGGCTGCCCAGGATGGAAAATTAGCATTAAAGAAGGGCTCAAGCTTCCTGGGCTGACACACAGTCCGAGGAAAATATTCTCAAATAAAATACCAGACCCAGCTGCACTGACCAGAGCAAGTAAAACCTCTGGCCGGAAAGGAAGAGCAGCAAAAGCACACCCTTTACTTCTTTCTGAATCTTCTAGAGTCCCCCCTTCTCCAGACAGTGTCCAGGTCTCCACAGTAAGCATAAACAAACCCACCACGTGCTTCCAGCTGCATTACACAGATTAAATGCAGAAATTCACCCTCCCTTTTCTAGACGGGAAGCACTGGGCACCAGGTTAGGAGTCAGGAAGCCTGGATCCTGCTAGCTTCTTGCTGCCAGGAGCTGCTTGAAGGGCCCTTAACTCTGAATCTCCCTGTGCCCATCTGTAAAAGAATGGATGCACCTAAATCAGTGTCTGTCAAACTTTCCGGGAGCCCTGGCATTCGGGGGAGGGGCCACCACTGCGAGACAGGGGTCAGGTGAAGGAGTACGGGTCCTGTGCTGCTTCTCAGCCCAAAACGGCTCGTGGGGATCCACGCATGCGCGGGGGTTTAGCGTGACACTGTTGCTTAATGTTACCAAGACAACTCACAGTTATGACGACGTAAAAAGCATCGGCTCAATGCATTATTGGGTGATTTTTCTTTTTTAAAGATATGCAGCATCTATGTGTCTCTGGATTACTGATGAATTAATCAATGGATTGATGGGCTGGTAAACAATGATGGCAACCCGTATAACAGGTTCTCTTATTCCTACTTAAAAAATGAACAAAAACTAAATAAATAAAAAATGAACAGAATGAAACTCAGTTCAGACAAGTTTACCAAAATCACACAGCTCAGTGCTGGCCAGCATCCAAACGTGGGCGTCTGACATGAACCATTAGGCTCAATCCTGCCGTTCTCGTCAAAGATGAAAGAGCATGGCCAAAAAACAACTGGTGACCTCATGACTGCAGTTCTTTCTCCTTGGAACATCAGGTTCTTCATTTGTATTCTCTAAATGTAAACACTCACCCTGGAGAGATGAAATGAATAGCCACGAGTTCTGCCCAGCAAGCAAATTTGTTGGGTACAGGAAAGCCCAAAACGTTGACAAAGCCTCCGGGGCAGTAATGGTTGTTGAGAACTTTCAAAGCAAACAAAACTCCTAAAAGAGAATAAAGAGCATAGCAGTAATCAACACCCCAAAGTGGCAAGGATCAATATTCTCAAAGAAAACGAACAGAAAGTGAAAAGGAGTATTTGACTACATCCACCTTCCAGCTCGGAAACACACGAGTCTTCTGAGCCAGCCCAGCATCGCATCAAGGGTGACAGTCAAGGAGATCAGGCCTGGATGGCTCCTAACATGGGAGCACATACAAGCTCTCGGCACGCTCAGAGGACGGGGTACACATCAGCCGCGGGACGCCACAGACCCACACCTGACGCTGTGGATTTTATGCTATGTGGTTTTTTCAATCAATTTAAAAGTACCAGTGGCGTGTTCTTCTAGTTAATTTCTGTGGAAAAACTGCTTTCTTCACCCACAACCAGAGGTGTGGGGGTGCATCTCAGAGGGGAGCTGGAGGGTGGCAAGGGAGCCATCAGGGCTGGATTTTATTCTCGGTGATAGCCGCACTGCTTCTCATTCTCATTCTTAGAATCCCTAATCTAAGTCCTGATTGTAATTTCAGTCCTGTGAGATGTGTTAAAAACACCAGCAGCAGCTAACTAGGAGGGAAGGAGAGTGAGCGGCAGCACCGCCCCACGTCAAAGCCACGGGCACTGGGCGCCAACCCGCTCTGGCCTCGCTGGGTGGGCAAGGGGACCAACTTCCTGTGCCTGTCTGGGTCTGTTTCATCATCTACAAATCAAGGCAATGCCGCCTCCCTCTGGACTGGTCTGTCTGGACTAAATAGCATGAGTCAGAAGTCACACGCAGTGACTCTCACAACTCCTAACATAGGGCGGGGCTGTGGTGGTCTGTGGCGTGTTACCTGGATGAAGCTACTGAGAGACACTCTCATTTGAAGGAGCCTCCAATCCTGAACACACCAGGCGCACTCCCAAGCCTTAGCAAAATGGGCAAGTGTTATTTCCAGGCTCCATCTCCGACAAAGCTACCTTCCTACGTACCCTACTGGTCCAAACTGTCCAAGAGTGAATAATGCAAATTAGCAATAGCAAAAATTATGTCCTTCCGAGGCCCTAATAAAGTGCTTTTCTAAAATCCAAGCCCAGTGGCATTTAAAATCTCAGTTCAACTCAGTTCCTTTGCTTCATAAAATAGCCAACAGCCACACCTCCCTTACTTCTTCACGAATGCCACCTTAGAAAGGTGTCCGGCTTACCTGAGAAGCCTACAGCACAGTTCCTTCTAAAGTCAGGATCATTCATAAACTCTGCAAGAGCAAATTCCAGGAGCAGGTACACCACCCCCGTGAGCAGAGAGAAGGTGGGTATGATGCAGGCAAACTTTCTACTTCCTAGTCTTCTCTCCAGATTTATGCCTTTCCATAGCATGGACACCATATTGAAATACAAATGCCAGTCGTCCGCGTGGTGAAGGGGGGAAAGCAGTAAACGCTGCCAGTCATTTTGCTGGTAGCACTTCTCCACACTAAGGCAGGAGCTTAACAGGGGCTTCAGAGGATTCAAAAAGAACCAGATGTTGAGAGCCAGAGTTGCCAAGGTGACAGGTGGGATATTGCTGATTCCAACTTGGAAGATTTGTGAAAGAAGCAGAATAAGCCCAGTGTTGATTCCTCTTGATCTCCGCTGCATGGTCAGGTATTACCCCAGTGACGGGAATTGTGGGCAGGTCTCAGGAATCTGGTTTGCACCTAAAACACAGAATAAAAGCCTATCATTTCAAAATGAATACACTGCTAAGACAGTTTCTTACAATAGTTTACGCAATAGCCAACGTTACAGTCACTTTCAGCGTCTTCTAGAGGCACACCCTGGGCAAGTGGCTGATGACCTTCATTTACATCCTAAAATAAAAAGTTCATCCCAAATCCCAATGAACCATTTCAGAGAGTGGGTATGTTTTCTCTGACAAACAAGCCACGCAAGCATGACTTGTCTCCTGCATAAATAAATGTGTAGACCAACTAAAAGCCTACATGGGGAGGGCGTGGACATTTAATATAATTTCTACTCAGAACAGAACACTGGTCAGGATACTTTTCCCTGTTCATAGTTCTAAAGGAATATCCAATTTTGACATATTAGAGTTTGCTCCAAAGTTTTTAAATATCAACAAGTCTTAAAATACAAGCGTATTATCTTCTATTCTCTCTGCCAAACATCCGTTATAGGAATGCTTTATTGACATAAAAACTTCAGCTTTCGTCTTTTTCTTCCAGTTACTCTACAAATAACTATTTTCACACCCTGCCCATCACCAATGTCCCAGCAACTCACTAGGGCCTTTCCTTCCCTGAATCCCATCCCCCCTCAGATTTACAATCAGATGTTAAGAATTTATTATTGGGTTGGTTATGAGTGACCCTTCACAAAGTTTCTCTATATTCCACATATAAATGAGACTATCTGGTATTTTTTTTCCTTTTGATTTATTTCACTAATTCCATCCATGTTGTTGCAAATGGCAAGAGTTCATGCTTTTTATTGCTGAGTAGTATTCCATTTTTCTGATCCACTCCTCTGTCTTAGGGTACTAAGGCTATTTTCCATAACGTAGCTATTGAAAAAAGGGCTTCAATGAACAGAGAAGTATACAGAACCCTTCAAATGAGTGTTTCTGTGTTCTTCAGATACGCACTTGGGAGTTGGAATTGCTTCATCCTTTGGTAGATTCCCTTTTAATATTAATATTTTGAGAACCCTACGTATTGATCTCCATACCATCAGTTTTTACAAATACCTACACTATGCCAAATTCTAGATGGTGACACACTCCTAGTTTTAAAGAGCTCACTTTCTACTAAGTGAACCAAGGGCCGTGCGAAGTCTAAATGCCCCCGAGAGAGGGAGCAGGCCCTGACAACAGGGACCCAGCCGCAGGGGGCGACAGAACCATCGTCTCAAAGTATGAGTTGGAGTTTGTGACAGTCCACTTTTCCCATGAACCTGAACTGAACTGGAGACCTGGTGTGCCCCATCTTCATTCTGTCTGCCACAAGTCCCAAACTAAGCTTCCAGCTGATTTGCAGATGTCTGCTCGCTCTTAAAACCTTCCAAGCAGTCACGGGACAAGTCCAAGCTGCGCTGCCTGATGACAGAAGACAAGTGCGGCCATGGCCCTGGCGCCGAGACAGCTGATAGCCCAGAAGCGGCTCTCAAACTGCCCAGCAGCTGCCCATTGTGATACTGCACCAGGGAACCCCCACAGAAGAGTGAGCCAAGTAAACGGCTCTTGATTCCAAGTTGACCCCAAGTTTCAGAGTGGCAAGTTATGCAGCGATTTCTAACCAGCACAGAGGTATTTGTTTTGGTGAGCGATCAGGTTATTGTTGTGAGAAGGAGACAGTAAAGAAAGGAACACAGAGACAGAGAGGCTAAAGGCGCGAGCAATGAGGGTAAGTCCACAGAGGGTAAAACACCATTCGGCATGATGGGAAGACAGAAAAAACATGGCAGCAAAGACATGGGTAAGTGGGCAGCTCAGGACGGGAGGCCGCACAAGCTTTCGACTAGAGGGTGGGAAGCCCCACGTGGCCTTCCTGGCTCAGTCAAACAGAGAAACAGCCCAAAGAACCTCATCCGTAGCACGCTGGAAAGAGCATGGGCTCGGGGTAGCAAAAGGACCCTCTGACCAAGACAGACAGCTCTGAACTTCGGCTTCGTCACTTTAAATTAGTAATGATAACACCTCCCTTCCAGAAATACTGTCACATCTTTGGAACAAAGTAGATGCTGAAACAGTATTATCCTAATGAGACTCAAATCTACTTCCCATATCTGCACAGAGGTTCTCAGCAACATACATACCTGCACACGTCTGTGTACCCCCCCCACACACACACAAGCACATACACAAAGCACACTGACATCACTGGCACAATCCAGTTTTCCTTATCATGGGCTTATTAACAGCAAGTTCATGAACTACATACAGACTTTAATGAAATTTCACCTGAAAAATTCCCCAATGATTTTGGAGAAACAGTCTGTTTTTTCATAGAGGCATTCGAGTCCACTTTTAATTTTCCAACTACTTTTGTGATTCCTCTAAAAAATTACATGCAAACATAATACACATATAAGCAAACATCACTACCTGTAATGGAAGCAATGAAAAGTTTGGTCTTGCTCACTAAGTAATCACTTAGGAGAAATCACAAAACAAACCCTTCAGTATCAGTACAAACTGTGTCTGATGGATGTCAGGCCACGCACAGCAGAAAGTCAAAGCTAATTATATCTTTACTTAAGAAAAAATTCCCCCTTGATTGGAATCATTAGCGATGAAGAAAATGAACAAGTTAGAGAGTGGAATTTCCTGTCTTCCTCCGCACCGTGGCCCAGGCTCACATTATTCGGCCGAATCCGCTCAAGTCTGCTGGTCCTTTCTGTCCCCCTCAGCTGTGTCCCCACTTCTAACCAGACCACTCCGCTGCCTGGGGCATGGTGCTCTGGAGGCTCCAAGCCTCCTCTCAATTCCTGACCATGCCTGACTTCTCCAAACAGCCACTGAACACCACGCTCAAGGTTTCTAGAATTCTAATAACGCGATGCCCAAACCTACAGTTTTCAGCCATGACCTCTCAGCAGCTGTCAGAGGACCTACTTGCACAAGAATATTATCTGCTTGATCTCTTGGTTTCTTGAAACTGAATGATCTCTTCTTATGGAATGACCAGTTATTTCTTCTCACACTCATAACTTAAACAAGTATTAAATGGCAAGTCCGCCAGTCCTGTGCTAGGCACTAGGGTTATGCAAAGAACAAAACAGAATCCCAGGCCCGAAATGCCCATTTCTACTTGTTGAAGGAAGGAAAAATACTGGTTAGAGAAAGTAAAAGATGAAGAATGCGGGTCCTTGCAGTGAAGGCGGACACAACCAAAGCCCCTGGGCAGTGCCTCAGGGCCCGGGCTGCTTCCCCAAGTCCCACTAGAGCCAGTGCACAGACAGGCACGGAGGTTCTAAGTTTCAAGTTCAAAGGCACACTGACACTACTTCGTGCAATGCTGTGAACCAGTTTCCTTCCCAGTGAGCTATCACCTCAGCAGTCCCAGTGGGGACACAGGCTGCCACAGGTGACGGAAGGTCGAACCTGTCCAGAGATCCAATCTGTAGCTTGAGCTGTGGACCAAGGATGTGTGGTTCTAGGAGCACTACAGACAACCGGCCATAAAGGCAGGTGTGCCGTCCGGCCCTTGTAACAGAGCGCCGGGCTGTGCCCAGAGCCTGGTGGATCACAGCAAGTTGGAAACCTGTACGGCCTGGTTTGGGAGTGATCTGCTTATCCCACCTGGTACGCAGGCAGTTACTACAGCACAAAGACGGGCAACTGGTCCCGGTACTCCGTTACCTCAAAAACTCATCCTCCTCCCCAAACTGGACCCCGACCGGTCCATCCATTGTACTCCTCCTTTCCCACCTCCCAGCTACACTTACTCAAGTCAGAGATGGGCAGATATCCTTGGCGTTGTCTGTCCTTACCCTCAGGACCCCAAATCTGATCCATCACTTTTTGTTAATTGCTCTGACAGCATCTACCAGTCCACTCCCTCTCGTTCTGGGGCCAGAGCCTTAACCCCGGCCACCACCATACCTGTGTGGGTTCCAACAAGCTCCCCTCTGGACTCCCTTGCCTCCGCTTTTGCCACCAACCATTGTTCACCACTGCTCAGAGTCATCTTGCTAACATGAAGCTGGGGTCCCCTGCAGGAGGCCTTCAATGGTTTATCATGGCACTTAGAATAAAGCCCAAATTCTTCACTTCAACTCCGTGCCTGTTCCTGCCAGTGCCCACCTTGCCCTATGGCCTCACATCACAGTGACCTCTGCCTTGGTCGCATTCCAGCCACACCTGTGTTCCCATAACACAAGTGCCACGATTTCAGCACAAGAGACGGAGGGCAGAATCAGTTTACCCATTTCAACATCACAGAGTCTAGTGAAGACCTGGTGACCGCACGCACGTAGGGCTTACATTTTGCCCACTGCCTCCAGATTAGTGTTCCTTGAATGCAGCTTCATCATATCATCTAAATGTATCCACATCGTATGAGAAATGAGACAGCAGAAGACTTCTGAATATCTATAAGTCCGCTAAGCAATTTTCCAGCCACTGTTAACACTATACATACATATCATGCCCTGTGCCACTTTTAGTTCTGGAACAGTGGTTACATTTACCTCAACTTTACACAAATAAGCCTCTAATCCATTCAAAATATATTAATAGATTGCTTTGCCAGAACTATTTGATTAAAAAAAATGGCATCTTAATTATGTGGTAATACACTGTATCAGGTTGTGACAGAGAGAAATGGAAGACTTCTTGAAATATTGATAGGAAAATTAGCCATATTTACTTTTAATGAGAAATTAAATATTAAACAGATGTGTAATAAGAAAAACTAAGTGGCTAGAACAAACAAAAGAAACTGAATTCATAACTTGGGAAACCAATGTGTCTCAAGGGGGAGAGAAAAGAGTTTTATAAAAAGGGAAAAGAAACTAAATATTATGATTTTTGATTCTACTTACAAAGCAGAAAATATTTCATTATTTTCATTTACCAAGGCAACAATTTTCAGTTTAAAAGTCCACACAGAATTCAAACCATCAAATTGTAAGAACATATACCAGTTACAAATTATAGTCCCAATTTGGCATCTGATATTACTGAATAATTTCACAT